TTATTAAATTGGTTAGTATCAGAGAAACAGAGCATTTATGAAAATGATTATACAAAACAAACACTATTTTACAACTTTCCTCCTAACATCAGAACCCAAATGAAATTTCAGGGCCACCAACCCTGCTCTGGATTGTGACCTCCTGTGCTGGAAACGAGCTGCAGATTCTCTTAATATTCATCAGCAGAGTTGCGACTTGGTCACAGTGCCATCCTTGCCCTAGAGGTAGGATCGTTGCAGGCAACTTTTTGGTTAGCATGTCAGCAGCCATCTCTGGTCTGGGAAGATTAGTGAAGTGTCATTGATGATTGATACAGTCTTGGTAAACTCCAGGGCCATGCTACCACCCCCCTGGAATTCAGTTGCATCATTGTATCATCAGGGGGCGCAAGTCAGATTAGCCTTTTGAGCACAAGGAAGATGTGAGAATGGGTGTAAGTGTTCAAGGTAGCGTGTGTGCTTCAACACCTGCTATTTTCCTGTAATCAAACCTCGTTTACTCAAAATGTTTCTTTTTCAACAGTCAATGCTGCCTTGACATCTTGTAATTATATATTAATAATATTATTATTATTAACGATTACGAAAAGCAAAATATTATCAATGAAAATCTTGTAATTACCCAGCAAGATCTGCTCTGCATTTTGATTTCCAATTAAAATACTTATAAAATATCAATACAAAGTGCCTCTGGTTAGTTATTAACATGTTTTCTTTAGGAGACCAAACCAAACCAAACAAACAACAACGTTCACGTTTTGTCACCTTGGACTCTGTCAAAAAATAAATTGTTTTTAATGTTTTTCCAAGAAAGAAAAAAAAATCAATTTGTGTCTGTCCTTGTCCTACCAAAAAAAAAAACCAATAGGATAAATAATTAATGTTGTACATGTTGATCATAATAGAACTTCTTTTAAAAAAATTAAAAAAATGTCATTTGTAAAAAATACAAACAAACGAAGCAAAGGAAATGGTGTTGCTGATGATCGTGGGTAAGTGTTTTAAGGATGGTGGTGGTGGTTATCACCTGCCACTTGCCATCACTCTAGTTATTTTAGAATATTTTTTTAAAATGAATAATAATCAACATGAAAGAAAAAGAAGGAAAAGAGATCAAGGATTGAGTAAGGCTCATGTGTAAGTGTTTATCATTAAATGGTGGTTGTTATCGCCACATTGCAACTTGTCACTCTAGTTATAATATAACTTTGTTTTTTATTTACTTAATCCTGACAGCATCTTAAAAATTGAAGAAATTGGTCATTCTTTACATAGCAATGAGTATGTATATTAATTATTTTTTGAGAGCATTAATTTTATAGTTCCATTAAGCTATGTATTATTTTATTTTATTATTTTGCTAGTTTCACAATTAAAGGACATTTAGTGGTGAAATCTGAAATCATACATTGGAATAAGGGAGAATCTGATAACAGAAAATTTTTCACTGTTCTTCTAGTTGATAAATCAGTAGGAATTAGGATTTTAATTGGAATTTCATTATTATTTCTTTTTAAAAATAAAATTACTAAAGTGAATATACATGATTTATAATCAATATAACCAGCGTGAAATCAGAGCTACCACATTTAATGATTGTGTGGATAAATTCTATAATCAACTCAACTGCGACAAAGTATGAATTTTTCAACTGAATCTATTCGAATGTACCTTCTTTAATATTATTTATTAATTGTTTATTTTCAAATAGATGTATTATTTTTCGGATTTACATGTGGTATTAAGCAAAAATCAATGCCATCAGATTCAAAAACACGAAATTTATTTCGAGACTACTACTGTGGTTAAAGATGTAAATTTAAAAATTTTGGATTTTTAAACTCTTGAGTTTTTTTAAAAAAAAATTTCTCATTTTTTTTTTTTAGTGCAATGATGATGATTCCATTGAAGGTGAGCTGGTGAATCTTTTAAAATTCAAATTTTTCCCTTTTTTTTATAAAGAAAGCAATTTTACACTCAACACTTACATTGGTAATCATGATTTTTAATTTTTAAAATAACTTATGTTTGGATTTTTGATTGCTTATTAATATTTTTGTTCTATTTGTAGATTTAATTGGAATCATTAAAACCATAGATATCCCACGTGATATTTTTATACAATCTACAAAAAAAAAAGTATTTATCTTTTTTTTACATATTTTATTAAATTTTTTTTTATTGATCTATGAAAATTCATGTTCTTTTTTAAAATTATCTGTAGGTCCATAGACAAATCATCAGCATAGCTGATAAAGATAATAACGAAATTAAGATAACATTATGGGGGGAGTATGCTAGTAATCCAGAACTTGCCATTGGGTCGGTAGTTGTTATGAAATACATTCATGTCACTAGCTACAAAGGTTCAAAAATAAATAGTAATATTTAATGTATTTGTGCATATATATTTGCAAGTAGTGATTAAATTATATTTTACTCCTAGTCAAGATAAGTCTAATGTTGTCACTATGCACCATCATCCTTATAAACCCTACTTTGTTACAAGGAACTGAATTGATATCAAATTGGTATTTACTAAATATTGTGTTTATTAAATAATTTATTAATTTATTGATTATAAAAATACGTTCATATTATTATTATATTAGGAGTTCTGTTATTAATAAACCAGGTGGTGCGTCTAGGGTTTGTATTCATGAATATCATAAGGGGGTCATACAGGGTCACACACTATTAAAATCAAGTGATCAACTCATGTTTTTAAGGGATTTTTTGCTGTTTTAATAGTGTGTAACCCCCTTAATGATATTCATGATATTCATGAATAAAAACCCTAGGTGCGTCTTGTTCAGAAATTAATTCAACAATAATTTTAGAAACACTTGGATCAGTTGAAATAAATAAAGTTCAGGAGAAAAAAGTTCACAAATTATAGAAAAAGATAGTCAAATAAAGATATCTCAAGAAGAATCTATTAAAGCTAAATCATCAACCAAAAAGGGTAAGGAGAAATCTAGAACTGATGATCAAGAAATATCTGATAGAGATCATTGGAAAGAAAAGTTCCATAAACTTTGGGAAATATATAATTAAAAAAAACAAATTCATGAGGCAGAAGTAAGCATTGTTGAACATATTTATTTATGTGTCAATTTTCTTTACTAATTTCTTTCTTATGCATGCAGATCCTAAATTTAAAAAATGAAAACGAAAAATTGAAGAAAGGAAATTCTGAATTGAAAAGAATCAATTTACAAACCATGAAACCTCCAGAAATTTCAAAAACTAATATCAATATATGTAAGCCTGTTGAAACTTTAAATTCCGAAGTAACTTCTAAACATATTGTGGAAGCATCAACATTAACTGCTAAACCAACAGAGTTTCAAAGCAATACTGAAGTTCATAGTCAAATTTCTAAACCTGAAGAATCATCCAAATCTCCACTAAAATTACAATCATCCTAGAGAAGAGGATGTATCTAAACAAGCAAATATTTTCAGATATTTCCATTAACAAACATAATGGTTGGTCATATAGGCTCAGTTGATGTAAAAATCAATTATGTATTATAAATATGTTGTTTTATTCATTCTAATGAACATTACCATTTTATCTTTATTGCTTATAAAATTCCATGTAGAAATTATGTTTTTTTACTAAACAATTTACAATAGATACGAAGGACAAACTATCATACTATTTATCATTTATGTTTATTTTTTATGCTGATAATTAATAAATTAATAAATAAGCTATTTTTACTTTTTAAATAAATTAGTTAATGAAAGGCAATATTAAATAATTGTAATAATTGTGTAGTTTTCTGCCAAAAATATCTTCTAATTTGAATTGTCATGAGAATATTTGAAAATTCAGTGGGAGGGTGTACCATTCATTATATCATTTTTTAGAAAATTTTAATTACAAAAAAAAATTAAAATCCAATGTTTCTTGGTTTTTTACCCTCCCAATGTTCTAGTGCTTTTAAAAAATCTAAATTTTATTTTGTCACATTTTATATCCAATGAAATCAAACTTTCATTATGCTGGACAAATAATTGAAGTAAAACCTAAGCAAGTCAAACCAACTCATACTAATTCTTTTTTACCAAATCTTTTTTTAAT